GAGGAATCAAACCCAGGGCCTCATGCATGCAAGGCAAGCGCTGTACCACTGAACCACCTTCCCAGCCCAGTCCATGAGATTCTTATCTCCAATTAACCACCAGAAAACCAGAAGTGGCACTGTCACTCAAATGGTAGAGTGCTAGCTTTGAACTGAGGAGCTGAGGGACAGTGCCTAGACCCAGAGTTCAAGCCCATGACCAACAAAAAAACCCAAAAAACAAAAAAAGAAATTAATACTCTGTTGTGCCTTCTACTGGAAAGTAATGATTATTTTTCTAGCACCTCTTGATGTTTTCCTTTGTTCTCAAGACTTTTGGTATCCAAGAAATCTTGGATTATCGCCAGTTGCTAAAGAAAATCCCATCTTTTAGGCTACCCTATAGAAGCTGTATGGCTTGGGATGTGAGGTACGGAGGTTTTTCTGAGGAAGGCTTGATGGCCGCCCCTTGCGCTTGTCGTAATGACTGTGCTACCTTCTCACAAACTGCACGTCCATGTGTGTTTCTGGACATTTCATTTTGTTCCATTTCCCCAGTCTATTTTTGTGTGAAAAACACTGCCTTGTTACAGCTTTATGATAAATCTCCATATCTAGTAGTATAATTCTTCCTTTTAAATTTTCTCATTAAAAATCAGCATATTTTGCAACAATGTGGGCAAATCTGGAGATTACTATCCAGTGAAATATGTGAGATACAGACAAATACTGCATGATTTCATTCATATGTGGAATCTAAAAAAGTGAAATCACAGAATTAGAGTAGAACAATAGTTACTGGAGTTGGGAGGGGGGAGTCAGACGGCTGGTAGCTGGGGTTGAAATGTTGGTCAAATGGAACTATAAGAGTGGCTTCAGTAGTAGAGCACCAGCCACGGGTGATAAAGCCAAGAGGCTGGGGCTTAAACTCAGGGTCCTTGTGCTCACTTGGCTTGCTTGCTCATGGCTGGCTTTCTACCTCTTGAGCCCCGCTCCAGTTGGGCTTTTTGCTCATTAACTGGAGATGGGAGTCACAGACTTTTCTGCCTAGGCTGTCTCTGAACCAAGATCCTCTAGGTGTCAGCTTCCAGAGAGGCTAGGATTATAAGTGTGAGCCACTGGCCCCTGGCTTAGTCTTCCCTTCTGTCTCCCTACAACCCCTCCCAGTTTGCTAATATTTAAACAACTTCAGCTCTGTCCCAAGCTAACAGTTGCTTGTTATCTCTACCCCACAACCTGTCTTCTCTCCTCAGTTGCCTATGCTTAAGCTTCCCCCAAGGGAGGGAGGGGGCTTCTCGATTCAATCATTGAAAGTAACTCAAAGCTCTAGTTTGTTTTCCTCTGTCTCTGGCTGGGGCTTGGATGATTATATAAATCCAGTGGGTGGCACAGCCAGGCAGGCACTAGCAACTTCCCCAGGCTTTTCTCTCAGCTTACTGTAAGCAGGTTTCATCTCTTTTGCTGGTCTGACCTAGCCTGGGCAGAGTGTGGACTAAGCTGAATCATAATGGAATTCAGCTTCAAAAAAAATCAGCGGGGAGGTAGAAGCCTTTTGTGCTTTCACAGAGGAACTTATTCATCTGTGCAACATAAAGGTGGATATATTCTCATCACAGGTAACAGGACAGGAGCCGTAACAGCAAAAGACCTTTCAAATAAACGTGTGCAAGTAAATAATCTAAGGTCACCTGAGGGAGCCTTGGTACCCACTGTAAGGGAATTTTATTTTTATGTGGAAGTACTCCATTAAGCCATCTCTCCAGATGGTTACAGGAGGTAGCCGCTGAGGAGGCAGAAATCTGTGAGGCTGAAGTATGCTCACTAGCACCTCTCAGTGGTATGTGGGTGGACTTGGATTAATGTAACCGCTACACTGAGATATATGTGTACTTGGGCTGCCACCACTGAGCCTGTCTTTCCCTAGTTTCTCTCCCTCCTCTTTATATCTAACTGTAGAATAAGCCAAGTTAAGACCCTTTTTGGAACAGGCTCTGATATAAATAAATAAAAACTATAGAATGATCCCTTGGCAAAGTCCCTGAACTCAAAAATAAAACCTAACGCCAAAAGTTGACTGGTAATCCACAAAGTCTTAGGTCCTTCTGCTTTCAGGGGGTCCCGGGGCAGCAGGTCATGTTGGATGTTGTATCCGATCATGGTGTATGGCATTTCTGCAGCATGTGGCTTGCTAATAAGCAACATGTTATTGATGGCTAGATCTCTCTGAAGAGCTCTCTAGAGTTTAGTAAACCTGGGAGGATGCTAATCATCAGTGAATTCCTTGGACCCCACAAATGCGGTAGAGCCCAGCTGAGCCAGACATTTGCAAAAGAGACAGCAGGGACCAGCAGAGAATTTCTTCTGGACACAGAATACAAAGCTTCTAAGGGTACCAGCAGCATACTCCCAAGGATGCATATGCAAACCCTGGTCCATCTTAGTCCCAATTGAATTTTTTTTCTTTTCTTTTCTTTTTTTTGTTTTTGGTTGGTCATGGGGCTTGAACTCTGGGCCTGAGCACTATCCCTGAGCTCTTCAGCTCAAAGCTAGTGCTCTACCACTTGAGCCACAGCACCACTTCTGGCTTTTTCTGTTTATGTGGTGCTGAGGAATTGAACCCAGGGCCTCATGCATGCAAGGCAAGCACTCTGCCACTGAGCCATCTTCCCAGCCCTCTTTTTCTTTTTTCTGTGCCAGTTGTGGGGCTTGAACTCAGGGTCTGGGCACTGTCCCTGAGTGCAAAAGCTCAGGGTCAGCGCTCTACCACTTTGAGCCACAGCAACTGTTCTGGTTTTTCTGGTGGTTAATTCAACATAAGAGTCTCATAGACTTTTCCTGCCAGGGCTGGCTTTGAATTGCGATCCTCAGATCTCAGCCTCCTGAGTAGCTAGGATTATAGGCAGGAGCCACCAATGCCCAGCTCCTTACTGACTTAGGGAAAATAAAAACAAAAAAAACCCAAAACAGGTTGGTAACTCCAGCTGCTTGAATAGAAAGCACTTCCTGAGGAGCTAGAAACCCTGAAGGAGATGGGCTCTGGGGAGCAGTGGCAGGAAGAGCAGCCAGCGTCAGGTGTTTCGAGGAGGAACTGAGTAGTAATAGTCAAGTATGGCCTCAGTGGGTCCCTCACAGAAAAACAACAAGCATATGTTCCAAAGGCAGAGCTACTGTTTCAAGGACAGAGGGACCTTTGTACATAGTCTCAGTGAAAAACTTATTTTAGGATGTTTGCACATTTGCAGATGAGCAGTGTCCTTCAAGTATAGCATATAAAAATGACAATGAGGGGCTGGGAAGGTGGCTCAGGGATAAAGTGCTTGCCTTGCATGCATGAGGCCCTGGGTTCAATTCCTCAGCACCACATAAGCAGAAAAAGCCAGAAGTGGCACTGTGGCTCAAGTGGTAGAGGGCTAGCCTTGAGCTGAAGAGCTGAGGGACAGAGCCCAGGCCCAGGGTTCAAGCCCCAAGACCGACAAAAACAGACTGTAAACAAACAATAAAAATGACAATGGCCCTATTTTTCAGATACAAAATCATCTATCAGTAAAGGAGATTAATTTCTAATTATAAATCACATAAAAGAGTTGGTACTGAGCTGGGAATGTGACTTAGTGGTAAAATGCTTGCCTTACATTCATGAGGTGCTGGGTTTGACTCTTCAGTACCACATAACAGAAAAAGCTGGAAGTGGCACCGTGGCTCAAGTGGTAGGGTGCTAGCCTTGAGCAAAAGCAGCTCAAGGATAGTGCCCTGGCCCTGAGTTCAAGCCCTAGGGCTGGCAATAAAAAACCAAAAACCCCAACCAAACAACAACAACAAAAAACAGAAAGAAAAGGAAAAGAAAAAAAGAGTTGATAATCAGGAGAGAAAACATTTCCATCTCTGTATGAGGAACTCACTGTGTACACACTGGAGAATACAGCTATTTCTATGCTTCAAAAAATTACAACTCACACTGTATAGGAGGGAAATGAGACTCTTGGTATGGATTCACCAGGATAAAGGGGTGTTATTCTCCACACTTTAATACATTTCACGTTTTTGAACCACAGGCTAAGGGTGGGCCTGTTTGCTGTGCCTAAAGATGGACCCAAACGTGGGTAGCCAATCCCAGAACCACGCCTGCGTGGCTGCATTTTCGTCTCTGCTATAGACGTCTGACACCTCCTTGCAAAACAGCCAGTGCGAGAAGCGAATACTGGCCCACTCTTTTATGGAAAGACAGAATGTGTAAAAAGAAAGACCATCTCAAGGATACAAATGGCAGTCTTTTCTTTGCTTCCTAAGATACTTATTTTAGCCTCCTATTTCTAGAACTTTCCTAAGTTCGATTCAGGTTCCACAAGGCCAGAGAAAGGAACATCTAGCCTTGTTAAAAGCACCTTCAGTAGATGCCAAGATGCACCAGAGCCTCATGTAAACAGCATGGATTACATTAGCAGGCCTCCCTGGATGAGCGGACTCTTATTCCCAATTCTCTCTCGCCTACCTCACCCTCACCCCATGGTTATATAACCTTCAGGATGGAATTTGGAAATTCCTCTGATCTAGCCTGCCTGCATTAGAGCTGAGCCAGTGGCTGGCAGGGGCATAATCTAATAGGCGAAACTGGAAAACATACAAGTCCTCTTCTGAGCCCAGACACTGTGCAAGCAAGGAAAGAAAGACTCGCCCTGTCTCCTTCCTCCCCTCCTCTGGCCTAAGCCTACACTGACTTCACCCAACAAGCACCTGACCCTCCCAGATGTGGTGGGCGGGGCCAAAGGCCCTCACAGGGCCATGGTGGGGTGGAGGTGCAGGCACAAACAATATTTAAGATGCTGACTTGGTGGAGTGTTCAGGCCTGGGAAGAACGCAGTAAGATATCCATTAGGCTCCACCTTCAGAAACTTTGAGCTTTGAGAAACACTAAGAAAGAGCAAAGAGAGAAAAACGCCAAGTGGAAGACCATCCAGAGAGAAACGTTAAGACCCGCTCTCACTCTGCAGGATCTCCAGAGGGCACATTCAGGCCTTTGAAAGATGCTGAAAAATCACCTCTCAGCTGTGACCTGGCTCTGCGTCTTCCTTGTGGCCTTTGTCGGTCACCCAGTGTGGCTGCAGAAGCCCCCTAAGCGCAAGACACCTGCACAGCTGAAAGCAGCCATCTGCTGCGAGGAGATGAAGGAGCTCAGAGCCCAGGTGGCCAACCTAAGCAGCCTGCTGGCTGACTTGAGCAAGAAGCAGGAGAGTGACTGGGTCAGTGTGGTCATGCAGGTGATGGAGCTGGAGAGCAACGGCAAGCGCATGGAGTCGCGGCTCACAGATGCTGAGAGCAAGTACTCCGAGATGAACAACCAGATCGACATCATGCAGCTGCAGGCGGCGCAGACCATCACACAGACCTCTGCAGGTAAGGGGGGGCGGGTCCTCACACTGGGCCCCGCCTCCCAGCCAAGCAGCTGGGGGGCTCCACAGTCACAGAAGGGTGCTAGGTAAACACTCACCAGCTTAACTGCAGGGCAGCGGTGCTCTGGTAGCCTGCACTTTCCCCCCAGTGAAGGCTTATGGAGTAGTTCTTTTGGATCTAGTGCTCTGTGTTGGCTAGTGTGTTCACAGGTTGCTTTAATCATACAGTGTCTCAGCAAGCGAGAAGGTATGAATTCTTGCCTGGAGGCACTGAGCCATGACCTGGTTGGCCCAAAGTCACACAGCAAGTGCTGGAGGCAAAGTTAATTTCGCCTTGGGTGACACAGCTATGCCACTTCCTTACCAAGAGCTGACACGTTGTACTCAATCTCAGAGACAAGAAGGAATTCCATTCATTACTACATGAATATTATTCAATACAAGGGTCTGGAAGAGTTCCTGGAAATGGGCATTTATGTAATTTTATTTCCTCTTCCTGAAAATCCATCTCCTATCAGGGCTCAGAATTAAAAGTAGACGCATTGTCCAGAGACTTTTTGATGAAGCCCTTGATGCTCAGTAAAGGACAGGCTCTTTGGGTTTCCCTAATCCTAGTCTTCAATTTTTTTTCCTCCTTAGTTTCAAATAAACTTCTCCCAAATAATGTAAAAAGTAAATGCAATGGTGAAATGTGGCCTCTTTTAGTGGCCAAAAATAAAGTCTTTTAATGTTTTCTTTTGAAAAATAACTTTCAGCTGCTGTTAGCCTGGCATAGATTTACTGTTTGAGGTAAGTGTGGTTTTCTAAAATTATCAGAAAATATTAGTTGCAAGGAGCATATCCTACTGGTACATCATTTCTTACTAATATGAAAGGCTGCTGGTTGCGTTATAAAGAAAGACAAAGGGGAAGACATGCCTACTTTTCGATGAGGAAGTCCCTGGATGCCCTCAGTGCAAACAATGGAAAAGTTTTAACATGAAGTTAAGCTTGAAAATTCTACTCTCTAAACAAATGTGTACACATCACTTCCTGACACTGTGGGATTAAAAAGGTACTCTTAGGCCATTTTTGAGACAGGTGAGTCTTGATCTTGTCTGTGAGATGAAAGCAGACAGGTGGAAGGCCAGGCTAGGCCGGGGAATCTGATCATGCCACTTCCTGCTGGTCTAGATTGGGGCTCTTTCCTCATCCCAAGGCAGGGTCTCTGGGAAGCCAATGCAGCTCCCCTGCCAGGCCTCTTATTCTTGCACAGGACACAATCTTTTTCTTCTCTGTGAGCTAGGAGTAGGTCATTTCTATACTCTAAATATGTAGGCCCTGGACCAAGTTAAGTTGGGACTTTCTGAGAGTAGACTGCCTCCTTCTCCCTTCCTCCAGCTGCTCTATCAGAAGGGACTGGAGCACCCTGGACAATTCCCGTGATGGCAGCATCGCCATTTGCCACACTTGTGCTTTTTTAAAGATCCCAGCTCAAATGGAAAGCAGAAAGCATCTCCTGATAGCAAGCGCCTGCTCTCTAATTCCCATCAGAAGCAGCTGCTTCTTTCAAAACCCACTTTGCTATTTGGAACATGAAGACCAAACCCAGCAGCACAGAGAAGTTAGCCCCAAGCTCAGCAAGAAAGTATTTACATCAACCCCGGAAGAGAGAACTGGACAATCTCATTTCCTTGTTTTAACAAAGCTTTCTGGGGAGTCCTCAAAGGGTTCCTTGGAGCCCTGATGTTCACTTAAGCACCTAAAATGGTTAAGACTGGGGAGAGAGAAAGTTGTAAAATCCATCTCCTTTAATTAGGACCCAGGTGACAGTAGCTATTACTCCAAGAAACAACAAAAGCAAATGGGCTAGGGGCATGGCTCAAGTGGTAGAGTGCCTGCCCAGCAAGTTTGAGTCCCTGAGTTTTTGCTGCAAAACAGCAGCAAAAACAAATTAAGAAAAACAGACCAGACCTTCTGACATATTCATGCCTCATTCTCTAATAGAGGTGGCTGTCCAAGAAGTCTGATGCTTCTCACAGGGCCATCTATCAAGCAGCCCTCACACGCTGTACCACTTCTAGAATCAGGGCTACAACTACAGCAGGATCACTTTCCTCAGACATAACCTGAAACAACTTGTTTCATTGTCCCATTGATACCTCCCACCACTAGCAAAGCCCAGTCTCCTGATGACCACCTTTCCTAATGGACAGTGTTTGGGGATTACCATGGCATGTTGAGATAGAAATGGAGACAGTTCTGGTGCAGCAGGCACACCTGCCCACCCAGAGCCCGAGCCTCCACTCATCCTACATATGCCCCTTCACAGATGCTATCTATGACTGCTCGTCCCTGTACCAGAAGAACTACCGCATCTCTGGAGTGTACAAGCTTCCTCCCGATGAATTCCTGGGCAGCCCTGAGCTAGAGGTGAGGTTACTACAGCCCACTACCCGTTTCCCATGGCTGGTTCTCCAGCCCAAAGACATACAGACAGCAGGGCTTGTCACAAGGCAAAAACACATGATGACTGGAGAGCTGTGCAAGCATTCAATTTATGGGTCCTCTATTCTCTAAATCCAGGCATCTGTCTGGTCCCTTTCAAATCATTATCAACTAAACACCAAGTCTTCTAAAAAAAGATTCGGTAACTATAGCCATCATGTCATTAGTTCATCTCAACATGCCCTCAAACAGCTCTTCCTCAGGGTGTTGGGAGAGAGAAGTGAAGGGGAGATTGGAAGTTCTCAGTTCTTCCTGAGCCAGCTGAGGATAATGTCACCAACCCTGCCTCAGCTCCCCAGTGTAGGGGCTGTGGTGAAGCACACACCCGCCAGCTCCTGCTGTCTTCCCCTGTGAGGCCCTAACCAGAGCATCCTCCTCTGCTCCAGGTGTTCTGTGATATGGAGACTGCAGGTGGAGGCTGGACCATCATCCAGAGACGCAAGAGTGGCCTTGTCTCCTTCTACCAAAACTGGAAGCAATACAAGCAGGGCTTTGGCAGCATCAGGGGGGACTTCTGGCTGGGGAATGAGCACATCCACCGGCTCACCAGACAGCCAACACGGCTCCGTGTGGACATGGAGGTGAGCACAAGGCCAGAGGTCCCAGGACGGGCCCACGTCCATCACACATATCCATGCCCGACTCTGGAGGCCTCATATTACATCAACATATCACATCACACCCATTACAGAGCTGCACAGTCACTGCGATGGCTTCCCGACAGGCTGCAGTACAGTTGAGGAAGTTTCTCTCTTTTTCTCCTCTTCCCTATTTCTCAGTAAAATAGGGCTGCAGTTGGCCCAGGACAAGGCTGACTCAGACCAGACAGGGCAAGCTCAAGTGTCAACGGGGCCACAACACCACCGTCATTGCTTGGGCCTGGGGCAGGATGCTGGTTGGTCTCAAGGCACTCACTGTCTCTTCACATTGCTCTTATCACATCCATCCCTTAGTGCAATCTAGAAGAAACAGGTCTACACCTTTAGACAGGGCAAAGGGCACAGAAAGACCACTTAAGTCTATGTGGTACATCTGACTCAAAACTCTTGCTAACTAGATGTAACAAGCTATAAAATCTTGGGCTGGGAAGGTGGCTCAGTGGTAGAGTGCTTGCCTTGCAAGCCTGAGGCCCTGGGTTCGATTCCTCAGCACCACATAAGCAGAAAAAGCCAGAAGTGGTGCTGTGGCTCAAGTGGTAGAGCGCTAGCCTTGAGCTGAAGGGCTGAGGGAAAGCGCCCAGACCCAGAGTTCAAGCCCCACAACTGACCAAAAAAAAAAAAAAAATCTTATCAGAGTCATACCTATGAAAAGCTATCTGGCTACAGGGCTGGAGAGTGAGGAGTGGCACGGGATGCTATGAAGCCCTCTGCCATTTCTCTAAGGCTCTGCTCTCCCTACCAGGACTGGGAGGGCAACATGCGCTTCGCAGAGTACAGCCATTTTGCTCTGAGCAATGAATTCAATAGCTACCGCCTCTTCCTGGGGAACTACAGTGGCAATGTGGGCAAGGATGCCCTCCTCTACCACAACAACACCGTCTTCAGTACCAAGGACAAGGACAACGACAACTGCTTGGACAACTGTGCCCAGCTCCGCAAAGGTGAGATTTGGGGTGAGGGAGGAGGAGAGGTGTGGGTGTAAGCCCAGGGGTCTCACTTGAGGACGGAGAGAATGTCCAGCTGTGCTGCTGCTGCTGTGGCCCTGGTGACTTCATTGTTATTGGCTCTGTCTGCTTCCCTGCTGCTCGGTCAGTCTATTCTGTAATCTCAAGGGAGGGTGTGCTGAGATACAGCCTGATCCTTTCTCATGCCAGGAGGATACTGGTACAACTGCTGCACCGACTCCAATCTCAACGGGGTATACTACCGCCTAGGGGAGCACAGGAAGCACCTGGATGGCATCACCTGGTATGGCTGGCATGGGGCCACCTACTCCCTCAAACGGGTGGAGATGAAGATCCGCCCCGAAGCCTTCAAGCCCTGAAAGGAGGCCTCTGGGGTGCAGGGCTGCAGAAGTGAGGGCAAGCAGGCTGGGAGGAGGGTACAGAATGGGTAAAGATAAGGACCGGGCCACCACCTCTGGTGGGAGTCATTCTCTGAGGAGCATGGCAGAACTAGTATGCGGGCTGCGAAGTGAGCACATGGGCATGCTAAAATTGTAAGTACCAAGGCTGTTATGGCAAATGGATGAAGCATTTAAGCCCAGTGCGCTCTGCCACAGACTCTCGCAGAATTCTCAGGGTGCAGGGCTGAGTGGCTCCCTCTGCCCCTGATCTGCCCACAGAGTGGCAGCTCCTCTTTTCCACATGATTTATCTGTGGGGAAATAAAATGGTGAGGACACTTTGCCCATTTTCTGCATATGAAAAAAAAATAGCAAACCCCCTTTGCTATAAAAAAGAACTATGGGGGCTGGGAAGGTGGCTCAGTGGTAGAGTGCTTGCCTTGCATGCCTGAGGCCCTGGGTTCAATTCCTCAGCACCACATAAGCAAAAAGAAAAAAGCCGGAAGTGGTGCTGTGGCTCAAGTGGTAGAGTGCTAGCCTTGAGCTGAAGAGCTGAGGGACAGTGCCCAGGCCCAGAGTTCAGGCCCCATGACCGGACCAAAAAAAAAAAAAGAACTATGATTTTCTTGTCAAAAGAGAGACTTTGAATATTACAAAAAGACCAGAAGTTGGTAGTGGAGGAGGGCAATTTTTAAACCCAGTGACATTCTCTTTGGTTTATATGCTTAAAAAAATTTCAAACCTTGTTGGGCTGGCGATGAGCTAGTCTAGGCTGGTCCTCCTTAGAGGAGGCTCTGGGGCCCTGGGCCTGCCTTCCTGCTCACCTGGGTCAGAGACTAGCACTGAAAGTTGCCACCTGGATATGGCAGAGCGAGAGATGGGCAAAGTCCCTCAATATTTGCACAAAACTAACTTAAAACATTCCCAGTCAACATATTTATGGAGTCAAAGAGCTCCCTTTTCTATTTTGTAAGAAGTGGCTGAAAAATGAAGGTAGATGGCGCTATGGTTAACAATCTGTGCTGTACATAAGCACCTGGCTTTGTTAAACTAAAATATTACAGTTGGTGTTTAAACATTTCAAGTGTCATTTCCTTCTACAATAAACACTTTTAAAATGAGTATTTTCTAAGGTTTTTTTTAAACCTTTACTACTTAAGAGTATGATCAAAAATTAAAAACAAAAACTTAAGAGCAGGAACAGTGAGAAAGGTCTGAGTTAGCTTCAGAATTTGGGGATACCAGAGGAGGAGGAGGAAGTCACAAACAAAAAGGCAAGGGGCACAGATCGCTACACTGGTGAGGTGAGACCCCCCAACCCCATGGGAGCCACTGCCATCACTTGACTTCAAAATGCATCACATACAAACACACCTACTTTGTGCTTGGTACAGAGAAGAAAATCATCTGTACCCATCAAGAGTGTCAAGTCACTCTGACTTGTGGGAATTCCATCTCCTTTCCAAAGAGAACCAATCCCCCTGAGGGGGGAAGCGTAATGCGAAGTATTTTCTATTGTACCTGTGGTTGATTGTTCGGAATGAACTCTACCTTGGAAGCTAGACATAGAGAAGTAAAGATTGAGGAATCAAAATTTGAGGCCAATCCAGGCACAAGAGCTCACAAGTTTTTCTTAACCAATAACTGGGTATGGGGCACACACCTGTCATCCGAAGCACGAAGAGCAGGGTCACTGTCCAGGCCAGCCCAGGTGTAAAGCAGGAGCCTACCTTGAAAATCACCAATGCAAAGAGGAACTGGCAGAGTGGTGCAAGTGGTAGAGTACCTGCTTAGCAAGTGTAAGGCTTCAGTTCAAATCCCAGTACTGCCAAAAACAACACAAGAACCATGAGCCGGGCGCTGATGGCTCAAGCCTGTAATCCTAGCTACTCAGGAGGCTGAGAGCTGAGGATTGTGGTTCAAAGCCAGCCTGGGCAGGAAAGCCTGTGAGACTCTTATCTCCAAAAAACCACCAGAAAGGGGCTGGAAAGTGGCTCAGTGGTGGAGTGCTTGCCTTGCATGCCTGAGGCCCTGGGTTCGATTCCTCAGCACCACATAAGCAAAAAGAAAAAAAAAGCCGGAAGTGGCACTGTGGCTCAAGTGGTAGAGTGCTAGCCTTGAGCTGAAGAGCTGAGGGACAGCGCCCAGGACCCTAAAAAAAAAAAACAGAAAACTGGAAGTGGAGCTGTGGCTCAAGTGGCAGAGTGCTAGCCTTGAGCTGAAGAGCTGAGGGACAGTGCCCAGGCCCAGTGTTCAAGCCCCATGACGAACAAAAACCAAAAAAGAACCATGGGGATTTTCCAAGAAATAAGTTAGCAGCTATACCAGAGTAAGGCTTCCTGAGGGACAGATATTCAAAAGAAACTTCTTCAGGCAAGCCAAAGAATCTGAGATGCTTGGCAGCAGGCTGCTACAAGACACAGACAGAAAGAACAAAGCTTACAGGGGTGAAGAGAGGTAACTGATGATTCTCCACCCCAACCCCATCCCCATTTCCTTTATATCTCATGACTAAAAATTCCACGAGGCTTTTATTATTTATTTTTCTTCCCCGAAGACCAGGACTGGAACTTGGTATCTGATGCTTTTGTTCATGGGTTGGCACTGTACCACCTAAGGCATACCTGTAACCACCCCCAAAGCTATCTATCTATCTTTCTCTCTCTCTTTCTTTCTTTCAACCTTTAATTTAAATCAGCTTCTGTGGTTTGAGGGAAACTTCTTTGAGAGAGGCAGGCAGAGGGTATAGGGAGATACTGCTTCCCCGACCCCATGGGGGGGTGAGCAGACTCTCATGGCATTTCCCAAACTGCTCTAGTGTAAATTAACAATGGATGCCAAAGAGGTGGCCTAGCACAGTCTCCAACTTGAAAGAGGACAGAATCGCCAGGAACAGAGCCTGGTGTTGCTTCTGAAATCCAGGACTATTTTTTTCTGACCAGGTCCTCTATGAAATGTGAAAAGGGACACAAATGAACAGGGCTATGCAAAAGACGCAGACAAAACAGCCTGATAGGCTCAGCCATCTGGTAAGCCCTGGGCATTTTTGTTTTTTGAAGATTTCTCAGTCAGAATATTTTTATTAAAAAGGGGCACATGCCAAGGTTGGGCAGTGAAAGCATCCAGCTAGGATCAGATTCTAGCCTCTAAGGTAGAAGAAGAAAGGCAGGCAGCATGCTAGCTAAGCAAGAGCCCCACAGCTAGGAATCTAACATCCTCACATTTACTCTCCCCCAAGAAGCAATTGTATTTACTAACAGATGGGAGCTTTGAGGATATAGCTGCCCTCTATGCTGTCTAGATGTTAGCCTGATTTGGTTTGTTACTTTATCCTGGAATAGATATGTAAAAAAGCCAATAGGTTCACAGACAGGTAGCTCAACTCAGCAGCAAGACAACAACACTGTCAACAGAATACAGTTTAAAAAAAAAAAAGCTAATAGGAGAAACAGATACACTATTTAAGCCAAGGCCCCTGTCTCCAAACAAAAAGAAGACAAATTGCCAAAGGGAATGTAAGAGTAGAATAAAGTAGTTTGATTTGGCAGGGAGGAATGTATTCACAGTCAAAACAGGTTCAATGTGTGTAATTTATTGGGGCTGGGATAGGGAAAGGAATTTCACTATGAAGTCTCTAGTAGCCACTGGAGAAGAACTCAATCTATGATTTTAGAGACACCTGCCCAAGACCAGGTACAAGAAAGAGGCAGCTGGGCTGGGAAGGTGGCTCAGTGATAGAGTGCTTGTCTTGCATGCATGAGTGCTGGGTTTGATTCCTTAGCACCACATAAGCAGAAAAGGTCAGAAGTGGTGCTATGGCTCAAGTGGTAGAGCGCTAGCCTTGAGCTGAAAAGCTAAGGGACAGCACCCAGGCCTAGAGTTCAGGCCCCATGACCAGCAAAAAAGAAAAAGAAAAAAAAAAGAAAGAGGCAGCTGTGGGCCACACACACATGGTGAGATCCCTGGGAGGAGTCTGTCTCCAGGCTCCCACCCAGAGGACTAGGACTGTATGTGGGCAGTTTCTCCAAACAACTTTGCCTTTGGTTATTTCTATGTTCCCTGGTAAAGATGACAGCGTACCACCACAAGGATGCTTAAGAAAAGCAGTACTGCAGCATCAGAGTGAAAGCTGCAACAGAAACATCAAAGCAAGGTACTAGGAGGCCCAGGAGACCATATGAAGGAAGCAAAACTGTGAGGCGAACTGAGTAGGCTGAAAGGCCTGAGGAGCAAAGAAGCATGGCTCTTTTTTAGTACAGAGTTTAAAAATAAAATAGCCAAAGCCAATTTGCAGGGAATTCAGAGAAGGTATTTTCTATTGCATCGGCTTAAAAAGTGACACAACCTCCTTGAACACTTTCAGGGCCCTGACTGTATTAAAGATCACTCTATGATTCTCTCAAATAGAGGGTGAGATGACGAGGCCACACACAGATCTCAGATAGAAAAGTCAACAAGGACATTAATGGATGAAACTTGTTACTGTCACCGATATTAAGTATTCAGTACACATATTTTCTACTAGTTATTACATGAGATCGTGTTACCTACGGCAGGCAGGTAGAGGAGGAAGGCAAGAGTCACAGGTGTTCACACGTACTAAGCTTACTTGATGTGCAAACATTCCTCCTGGGTCTCATGTTTACAACTGTCCCTAGGCCACAAATCAACATCCTCCAGGTTTGGGCAGAAATAGAATTCCGTGTCATGTGACGGGAATGCTTTTCAGCATCTGCTCAAAGGGAGAGCTAGCTATTCTAATAGATAGCTATAAACAGCAGAGTACTCAGCTATGTAACAATCTAGTGAAATGAAGGCAGCCCCAAGCTGAGCAGGCTCTATCAGCCAGGAGAGAAACTTCTCAGGCACTAAATTTCCCTTAACTATTGGCAATGAAAGGATGACCGGTGTTAGCATTCCAGGATGATAGGTTCCAGAGTTAATATTATCTGATAATCTTGATGGATGTAAGCAGTTCTCTGAGAGTTGGAGCTCAAGTTTCTGGCTGCTTGCAGTATTATAACAGCACAAAATTTATTAAACAACTTTTTCTGTCCATGCCCAGGAGATCAAAATCATCTTAGTAGAGGAAAAAAGGTAACCAAAATCAAAGGGAAAAGACCATTGGATCTCATACTTTGTTCTGACTTTTGTAATCACAGAATGTCAAAGGGGGCACACTCAAGCCCCAGTAGATTCAGACACTAATACCTCACCCTGCTTTGGGTGTCCACTGAGGTCCAGGACCCAGTGAATCCTAAACCTGTCCAGAGCACACTAACCAAAATCTGTGTTCCAAATCTGTGCTTCCATGCTGGTGTGACCATGGAATTGCCTTAGGACTATTTTTTCTGGGATGAGAAAGCCCAGGATAGAAAACAATGGGAGCTTGGGTGGGAAGGGTCAGCAGATAGGACAATCATAGCTAGACAACTGCAAGCACATGTCCCTTAAATGTGCTGGCCAGACCAGGTGACAGAATCTCCAAGTGACTCCAGTGTATGGCACCAGGCAGCAGGAGACAAGAGCAGAAGTGGGTGGAGCAGCAGATGAAAAGTACTGATGGCCTACCTGATGAGGGACTCAAGGATGGCAGGCGTGGGACCTTTCTGGAACTCCAGTTCTTTGTAGTGCAGGGCTTTGGCATATGCGCGGCACTTGGCAGCTCTCTCGCCCAGCAGAACAATGCCATTGTCGTCTCTCAGTGGCAGGGGGCCCTGAAGGAGATCAGACCCCCATAGCATAGGAAAATGGCAGATGGGATGTCTCCCCTCCCACCAGCAGGTCCTCTGTCATCCTCCATCTGGACAATGGAGAAAAGTCTTACCTTGTCGCTGTGTTCCATGAATTCAGCCAAATTTAGGAGAGTTTGTGTGACTTCAGCAATGTCTTGAGAGGTAAGGGCCAGCTCAATACTTCTGATGAGCTCATCCTGCTGGTCTTCATTCAGTTCAGACCAGCAGGACACAAACGCAGCATTGAAGAGATCTCTGAAGGGAGGAGAGAAAGAAGTGGAACTCTTCCCATGACTGATGCCATCAAGTCAATCAATTTGCTTCTGGTTTATGTGACTTCAGTTACACAGACTAGAACTGTCCAATAGAACTTGTTGGAAACTATCTAAATCTTCACTGAACAATATGGTAATCACTGGTCATTAAGCACTTGAACTGTGGCAAAGTATACCTAAAAAAGCGAGTTCTGGGTTTTATTTAAATTTACTGACACTGCGAGTACAATACACCTTTATCAATGTTATCCTTTCATTCCCCCATCTCTCCCAACATCACCCTCCCCTCAATTTACCCTGATTCTATTTTCACATATATATATCACATATCTCATAAAATGGCTAAGGTGAATTGCAACCCCTTTATACTACTTAAAGGTAATTTTAAACATTAAGTTATAATAACCACATATGGCTACTGACCACCTTATCACATGGTGCAGGTATAGACACTGCAACCTCCAGAGGACTGAAAACGTGAGAGGGGAAGAAGGCACAAAGTAGTTTTTCTCCACAGGCGCATTACTTGGCACCTTCTGCATCATTCCTCTTCACTAGAGGGGATGGGACAGTAAGGGGACTTCTAATACAGAAGTAGCTAGCCTTAAAAGTTAAAAAATAATAACCTTGGGCTGGGAAAGTGGTTCAGTGGTAGTGTTTGCCTTGCATGCATGAGGCCCTGGGTTCAATTCCTCAGCACCACATAAGCAGAAAAAAGCCAGAAGTGAGCTGTGGCTCAAGTGGTAGAGCACTAGCCTTGAACTGAAGAGCTGAGGGACAACGCTCAGGCCCAGAGTTCAGGTCCCACTACTGACAAAAACAAAACAAAAAAAAAACTAAAAAATCTTCAAATGATTCTAGAGATGTTTCTTAGGCAATGTCCTAATTCCTTTTTTTTTTTGGTTGGTTGTAGGGCTTGAACTCTGGGCCTGGCCACTGTCCCTCAGCTCTTCAGCTCAAGGCGAGCGCTCTACCACTTGAGTTACAGCGCCACTTCTGGTTTTCTAGTCGTTTATTGGAGATAGGAGTCTCATGATCTTTCCTGCCCAGGCTGGCTTTGAACTGAGATCCTCAGATCTCAGCCTCCTGAGTAGCTAAGATTACAGGCGTGAGTCACCAACGCCCAGCTGCAATGTCCTAATTTCTACAATCAGAAATGGCAAAGGCAGCATCTGCTATTTCTTTCCATATACAACCAGAACCCCTAGTTCAAAAAAAGAAAGAAAAAAAAGAGAGAGAGAGAGAGAGACAAAGAGAGAGAGAGAGAGAGAGAGAGAAAAACAGACAACTAGAAGAAACTAGAAGTGAGGTGTCAGTGGCTCACACCTATAACCCTAGCTACTCAAGAGACTGAGACCTGGAGGATCACGGTTAAAAGCCAGTCCAGGCAAAAAGTCAAAGTTAACTCTATCTCCAGTTAACCAGCAAAATGTCAGATTAGAGGTGTGGCTCAAGTGGTAGAATGCCAGCCATGAGCAAAAAAGCTGAGCAAGAGTGCAAGGGCCTGAATCCAAGCCCTGAAACAGGCCAAAACCACAAACAAAAAAAGAAAAGAAAAGAAGAAACTAGAAGCATTAGCCAAAAGAATCATATCCAGAAGTCTTAAAAGATCCTCTAACAGCTAGAGTCTTACAAACATCTGGAATAAGAGGTGCCATTTCTTTTCTTTTTAGTTGCCATTTCTGGGTCTTGAACTCAGGGCCTAGGCACTTCCCTGAGCTTCTTCTGCTCAAGGCTAGTGCTCTACCACTTCCAAGAATCACAGCATCACTTTTAGCCTTTTCTGAGTAGTTTATTAGAGAGTCTCACAGACTTTCCTGCCTGGGCTGACTTCAAATCACAATCCTCAGATCTCAGCCTCCTTAGTAGTTAGGATTATAGGCGTGAGCCACTGGCGCCCGGCTAACAAGTACCATTTCTTTTGTTTCTTTCTTTCTTTTGGGGGGGGGGAATCGAACCCAGGGCCTCATGCATGCAAGGCAAGCACTCTACCACTGAGCCACCTTCCCAGCCCAACAAGTACCATTTCTAAAACCACTACAACAACTTGAAATTATCACATAGATGGACAATTTGCCATCCCTGGCATTTAACTATAACTCTTTTCCCCACTTTTTTTTTTTTTGGTAAATATTGGGGAAGAAGACTTGGACACTCTGATAACCCATAATATATGTGTGTGTACATAACATGTTGGAATCTGATGGAAAAGGCACAATGTGAAATACAAAGGATAACATAAAGACTAAAAGATGTCCTATGCAAATTAAGAAAGAATTGTTCTTAATCTAGGTCAGAGTCCACATAGGATCCTCAGCTAATGTATCTGTGGCTATGTGAAAACACTGTGTGTGTGTTTATCACAACCCCTGAGATGCCGCTGGCCTCAGAGGTGCCTGGGGCAGAAGGTGTAGTGCAACAGCTGAGCATATGCCATCACACACTGTGGAAATAGGAAAGTCCTAAGAATGGTTACCATGCCAGGTAAATACACACAGTAAAACAACTGTGCTGATAAAAGTGAAATGAAATTCTTGCCTTTTGCTTCTTACTAATGAAAAAGGTAGCTTGTTAACTGTATCACCATGGTATGAGTGATTATAAACAATAAATGTTCATCACAGAAAAATCTTTTGTCACCAGGGAGAGAAAGCTGGGTGGAAGGGAGGCCTGACCCACCATACCTGGCCATTGGGTTGTAGGCTTGTGCCAGAGCCCAGCATGAGCGCAGGGAGGGCGATGAGGAATCCTTCAGCAGCTCTAGGCTCAGCCGTCTCAGCCATTCCAGCCAGTCATCTTTGGAGACCCTCCTGGCTGCTCCCCAGGCCTGTGATCCCACAAGTGACAAGAGAAAACCACCAGTTTTATGAGCCAGTTGCAAAGAGCCACCATTTTGTTGATGATTATACTACTTGGATTTATAAAATCACCTAAATTCCCATGAAAAAATGCCTCCAAGACACAAATACAAAAGAACATTTAATTAAAGGGTATAAAGCAAAAGTTGTAATTGGTAGAACATACCACCATTTAGAAAAGGCCTATCTCACAACTCACTTGGCTGGTCTTTAACCATCAGCAAAGCAGAGTGCTGGAGAATAAGAATGGACAGGGCCTGTCACACTCAAGAGGACATTCAACAAAACCTAATGGTCTCCAGCAAGGCATGACAGGAACAGAGTACCCTGCCTGAGGCTAGAACCCAGGATGCCCTGAGAGCAGAGAGTCCCACACAGGAAGAGGGGAGATAGGTTCATTCGTTCATGAGTCATACCACAGCCAGATGAAATGTGAGCTCAAAGCCACAGCTCTGAGTCCAACAGATTTAATCACTACTCTCTAGTTTATCCTCTCTACCTTTCCTCAAAACTATGAATTCTACAGGAATTAAGTACATCACTGTGGGGCTGGGAGTTTGGCTCAAGGATAAACACACACCTGTCATGTTTGGGCAGCACAGGCTGATAGAGGGAAAGACTGGGTTCTGGAGAGGACCAGCTTCTAGTATAGTGGCCAAAGCCACACTCCAGAGTTCAAAGCTATTAGGTAATTTACTGGCTGATGGTCAATGGTGCCTCAGAGCTTCACTTCCCAGGATGTGTTGAGGATTTACTAATAAGTGTAATGAATTTACAACAGTGCTCAGCACAATGTTAGTTCTGTGTGTGAGCACCTATTTCTCTGAAATTAGAAACACTTGGCTGAAATCCTGGCCCTACCATTCAAAGCCTTAGACTTCAGCATTCTAAGAATAATGAGTTTTACCATTGTCAAAATGACATTTGCTTGAACTTGCCCAGCCCTAACTACTAAATCTTTTTCTTGTCTTTTCTTTTCTTTTTTTTTCAGTTCTGTGACCGAGACTCAAGTTTGGTACCTGACACTTTCACTCATTGGCTAGCACTCTACCAAATGAGTCACCCCTCCAACCCCAAGATCCTTAACTTCCTGGACCAGGCATGTTAATCCCCTTAAATTGAGGAAATCATTAAGTTATGGCAGATCAGGGAATGAAAGGACCTCGGTGTGCCTGTGTGCTATACCACCCATCCATCAGTGAACCATCATCTCCCTGGGACAAACCAGAGACTTGCTGTTCCGATGATCAACCAACAAGGGAAATTGCACAAACTCTTATTATATACCAGAACCAATCTATAATTTCTTTTTCTAGTATAACTTAGGGCCTTGAGCTCTTGCTTGACCTTCTTACTCACAGCTTCATGAAGCTTACCACTTGAGCAAGCCACATACCTCCAGAACAGCTTTTTGCTGGTTAATGGAGATGAAATCTTTTGCAGATTTGTCTACCTGGGCTGGCTTCAAACCATGATCTCAGATCTCAGCCTCCTGAGCAGCTAGGATTAACAGGCATGAGCCACAAGTGCTTAGCTTTCTGATGAGAATTTTTAAGAAGTGAAGAGAAGGAAGAGTGAGACTGATTACAAAAGACCTGACTTCCAGGCGTGGGTCTGCTGCATGAAATGGGAACATCAAGTCCTTTTCTGTGCATAGCTTCTGGCTTCCTAATCACACAACAGATCTGTACATTACAGCATTGTGTATCACTTTAAAAGTTAGATGTAGGGCTGGGAAGGTGGCTCAGTGGTAGAGCGCTTGCCTTGCATGCCTGAGGCTCTGGGTTCAATTCCTCAGCACCACATAAGAAAAAAGAAAAAAGCCAGGAGTGGTAGTTCATACTTGTAATCCTAGCTATTTAGGAAGTAGAGATTGGTAGGAGTGTGGTTTGAGGCCAATCTAAGCAAGACATTTTTGAGATCCCCAACTTAATAAGCTAGGCATAGGGGAGGTACACCTGTCATTCCAGTTAGGTAGGAAGTGCAAATAGGAGGACAGTAGTCCAGGTTGGCCCAGGCATAAACTATAAGAACCTATGCAAAACGTAACTAAAGCAAAAAGGGTTGTGAGCATGGCTCAAGTAGAAGAATACTTTGCCCTAACAAGCATGAAGCCCTAAGTTCAAACGCCAGGCCTGCCCACAAAAGGAAACAAATATTAGAGACTTTAAAAAAGAGAGCCGGGAGTCGGTGGCTCATACCTGTAATGGTAGCTACTCAGAAGGCTGAGATTTGATGATCGCAGTTCAAAGCCAGCCTGGGCAGGAAAGTCTGTGACACTCTTATATCTAATAAGCTACCAGAAAACTGGAAGTGGCGCTGTGGCAAGTGGTAGAGCGCTTCCCTTGAGCTGAAGAGCTGAGGGACAGTGCCCAGGCCCAGAGTTCAAGCCCCATGACCAACAACAAAAAAAAAAGAAAAACAGAAAAAGAGGGGTGATTAAACACACTTAATCCCTAACTGTCATTACATGGTTATATGGAAATACAATTTGTTTTTCAATGAAATGGCCCAGGAGACAGCCGTGGGGGATTTTGCTTAGAATTTTTGAACTTGATCTGTTCTCTCAGGTAAGATAAACCAGAGATTATTTGTTGCATGACTGGCAAAGTTTAAACCTATTTTCCAAATCATTGGTAGAAAACAGAGCTTCCTGGGAGCAAACTAGACTACTAGCAGTAGTTCCTAAAATAGAAGAAATCTCTAAAGCAGGGTCAACAGCTGCCTGGAAAGACATTCTGAACCCCAGCTGGCTGGAGACATCTGTGTGCGAACGTGTTCTGGCCTCTCTCGATGCGAGGCTTTGGCAGGTGGCCTCAATAACTTCAATAACATGGGAATGCCATGTGGCTGAGGTCCTGGTTCTTTCCCTGAAGTCTCATTCCTCTTGACCCAGGGATGTTTTATACTTTCATCTGAAATCAACAAGAATTTTTTTTTTTTAATGATACTGGTGATTGAACCCAGTACCTTGAGTTTGCTAGCCAAGCACTTTATTCAGTCTTTTTCCTATTTTTGAAGACAGAGGCTAACTTTGCCCAGATTGCTTTTGAACTTACAATTCACCTGTCTCTAACTCCCAAGTAGCTAGGATTATAGGAGTGAACCACCATGCCCAGCTTAAATCACTAAGCATGTGTTAGTAGGATTACCTGACACTATCTGTGGGGACAAAGACACTAATAAACCTTCAGTGTTCTGAATGTGGGTATGAGCATGTATGAGCATGCCCTTCTTCCAGGGACTACATTCAGATCTTCATAGGCTTGGCCAAATGAAGAGAATGAGTCAGCTAGGACATAGGCCTGCCCCATTCCCTTTTCCTTGGGCCTGTATCAGAGTTTGAACCCAGAGCCTCTCACTTGCTTGGCTTGCTTGTTCAGCAGGTTCTCTACTACTTGAGCCAGGCCTTCACTCTTGATTTTTGCTGGTTAGAGATAAAGGCTTGTGGACTCTTCTGTCCAGAATGGCTTCAAATCACCATCCTCCGCATCTTAACCTCTTGAGTTGCTAGGATGACAGGTGTGAGCCGCTGCTGCTGGCAAGCCTGCCATGTCTGGACTTCTTTCTGTGGCATCACATGAAGGGCAGCTGCTGTGAGTCAGCTGCTAATGATGAAGAAAAACACCGTGTTGAAATCCAAACTGGGAGCTGCTTAGGAGTCTCCAGTGGCACTGACTAATACAAAATGTGGAAAACAAGCAACCTGGTCTATTACTTAAAAGTTGGTGAAGTAACTGATTATTCTAAATTTACTGGAAGAGCTTGCAAACGGCCTATTTTTAGGTGGCTGGTTCAATAGTTAAATGCAAAGATCTAAAACCCCGCTACTCAAAGTGTGGTTGACAGTCCCTGGGATCTCCTTGGAATGCAGACTGCCCTCAGACCGCCTGAACTAGAATAAGCATTTTAAAAGCCCTAGTTAACTGATGAGTACAATGAGAGGAAGTTGGAAAAGCAACTCTTTAAAGATCCTGCTAGCATTAGTGCTGGCTCACTATTTCTGCTCACATTAAAAAATGGCAATTAATTGTTAAAAAAACAAAACAAAACAAAAAACACGGCAATGCTATTTGCAACAAAATGTCTTGTTACTGAAATACTAAGAGAACACAAAAGGATACTTTGTTCTCTACTTTTCCTCCATTAGAAAAAATATTATGGGGGCTGGGAAGGTGGCTCAGTGGTATATCCCTTGCCTTACATTCATGAGGCCCTGGGTTCAATTCCTCAGCACCACATAAGCAGAAAAAAAAAAGCCAGAAGTGGCGCTGTGGCTCAAGTGGTAGAGTGCAAGCCTTGAGCTGAAGAGCTGAGGGACAGCGCCCAGGCCCAGATTTCAGGCCCCATGACTGGACCCCCCCCCCAAAAAAAAAGAAAAAGGAAAAAATAAAAAATATTATGGGGCTAACTGTAGCTGCTCATCCCTATAATCCCAGCTATTCAAGAGGTGTAGGAATGGGAGGCCCACAGTTTGAGTCAAAAAGTTAGTGTGGTGGTCTGTGCCTGTATGTGTCTTGGTTATTCAGCAAACCATAAGTAGGATGTCTCTGATGCAGGCTGGCCTGGGCAAAGGTGGAGACCCTATTTGAAAGATAACTAAGGCAAAATGGCTGATAGTATGGCTTTAGTAGAGCACCTGCCAGGTAAGCATGAGGACTTGAATTGAATTCAAACTCCTGTACTATAAAAAGAAAACAGAAGATAAGCTGACACCTGGCTGATAAAAGCCTAAGTTCAGCTGGGCCACCACCGGTGGCTCATGCCTGTAATCCTATCTACTCAGAAGGCTGAGATCTAGGATCACAGTTCAGCCTGGGCAGGAAAAGTCCATGAGACTCTTATCTCCAATTAACTACCAGAAAGCCGGAAGTGGCACTGTAACTCAAGAAGTAGAGCACTAGCCTTGAGCTGCAGAGCTCAGGGACAGCACCCAGGCCCAGAGTTCAAGGCCCACCACTGACCAAAAAAAAAAAAAAGAGTTCATGATATCTAGACTTCCAGGAACCCGCCTAGTCTGGCTTCTGGTTGGTTTACACTTGGATTAGGAAGGGCTCCCCTTGCTCAGTCTTCAGGAAACAATGGACCTGCCTTTTGGAGGTTGATGGTGCTAACGTGCAGTTTCTTCATGGGTCCTGTTTCTACCGGTCCACTGGCCAGCGCGTCCCCCTGGCCGCTCCGCAGCATTCGATGTTGGTAAATCAAGGGGTCCTCTTCTTCATCAGCAAGGGTATATCCCTGCAGGCAGTCAGAGGAAACAGCCGCAATACTACTAGATGCTTCTAGCTTAGAAAACATACATAAATCTTGGGAGATTTACACTTTTCAGAAGAGCCAGGGCTTCTACAAGCAGCAAAAAACTGTATATATGCACAAAATAAACTGTAGGCAGGCTGAATTCCCCACTGTAGATCCATCTTTCCTGGTCACTGACAAGCACTCATTCAGTAGTACAGGTATCCAATTGTGCAAATGGTAAAGATGAACTATGAGCAAGAACAGGCACAATCAAGTGTTTAAAGCCCAGGCGGCCTACAACCTGTTGCCTGGCCTTGTAAAGCCCAAGAGTGAAGAATGGGTTTTCAATATTGAATGGTTGCAAAAGTAAAACCCAAAGAAAATTAATACTTTGCAATACATGAGGACTGTGCGAGACTCAAATTTCTGCATCCATAAAGTTTGGCTGGCACACAGTCAGCCCACTGGCTTATGTGCTGAAGATAGCCACTTGCAGACCATGGCCAAACGGAGCAGCTCCAACAGAAAGCACCTGGCCTATTGTGCTGAAAAAAACATCTTCACTGAAAAAGCTTGCCGATCCTAGTTCAGAGTGGAAGAGTAAACATAAGCCGTAGCTAGAGGGCAGGAACACCTAAGGGGACAAACACTGAGGACTTGGGCAGGGGCGTGGCCCACCTTGACAATTCTGCAGATGAGCACATCATAGCGCTGATGGTTGATTCGGTGCCGCACCAGGACTTTATTCACCATCGGGATGAAAATTTGGTACTATGACAGGAAGGGAGAAACATGAGAAAGCATCGTAATGGAGAGGGAAAAGCAGAGAAAAGAATTAGGACCCTAATTACAATATAGCTAGTCATTCTGCTGAGGTAGCTCTGGAATTCTCATCCACTGATAAGTGCCAAACAAAGACCCCTCCTCCTGCCACCTGGCTTCCTGCTGTGGCTCTTCCCAGGCCCTTGCTGCTATCTGTGCCCCTACAGCATTGAGAATAACTACTTTAAAATGTTAAGCCAGGGCTGGGAAGGTGGCTCAGTGGTAGAGTGCTTGCCTTGCATGCATGAGGCCCTGGGTTCGGTTCTCAGCACCACATAAGCAGAAAAAAAAAAGCTGGAAGTGGTGCTAGGGCCCAGAGTTCAGGCCTCACGATTGGACCCAAAAAATAAATAAATAAAATGTTAAGTCAATCCGATTTTTCCGGTGTTCAAAATCCCCCAAAGCAAAAAAATTAATAAATAACTAAAATCCCCCAAAGCCTTCCACCCTTGCTCAGCCTGCCACAGTGATCTGCACAACAGCGGGACGGCGATGAAGCCAGAGACTGCTGAGCTCCAGGCACAAAGATAGGTACGTTGCTGCTCACAGGACCACCTTTGACACCCTCTGGCTTCTCATCTCTCTCCCACTTGGTCCTGCTCATCTCTACATTTCTTTCTCTCCTAAAGCCAAGCTAAGTTTCTGTCTCATTGTGCTGTTTATCATTCCTGCCTGCACCAGGCATATGAGACACACTGGGTTTACTCGCCTTGCTTCACTGGAATCGAGGACTATGAGAGCAAAGACTTTGCCTCTAGCACAGTCCTTGCCCCACACAGGTGGCTCAACAAATATTTACTGAACAGACAAAACACACTAACATAAAAAGCAGATCATTCTATGTTCTCCAATGGTGGTATGAGACCTACAGACTAACAAACAGAGGAGTTCACAAAGTCTTCTGTCTGAACAAGGCAGAATGCCATTCGTTAAGAACTGTCTTACTAGCTGGGCACTGGTGGCTCACGCCTGTAATCCTAGCTACTCAGGAGGCTGAGATCTGAGGATCGCGGTTCAAAGCCAGCCCGGGCAGGAGAGACCGTGAGACTCCTATCTCCAATAAACCACCAGAAAACTGGAAGTGGCGCTGTAGCTCAAGTGGTAGAGCGCTCACCTTGAGCTGAAGAGCTGAGGGACAGCACCCAGGCCCAGAGTTCAAGCCCCACGACCGACCAAAAAAAAAAAAAAAGAACTGTCTTACCTTCTTCCCCAGCTGAAAGACCAGGGAAGACAGTGTGTCCATGGCCGTGGAACGCAGCTCCGGGCTCTGGTCCAGTGTTCGAACAATTGGGTGAATGATCCGAGAGGCATAGTCAGTGAAGTCCAAAGACTCTGTCAGGCGGTCCACTGTCTCTAATGCTGCCCTACAATGAGCGTGAGCTGAAGCTACCTTACAATCAGCAGGGAGGGAAGCGGGGAAAGGGCTTCAGCGATGTTGTGGGTGACATGGATCAAATATAAACTCCAGTGGGACAACTAGAATGGGGTGGGGACAAGTAGGATTTCCATAAGTCAGGGATATTTCTAGACTCAAACAAATGGCAGTTGAAATGACCAAAATGATGGCCCAGAAACTTAAGAAATGCTAACAGTTCAATGACTGTTGGCTCCTAAGGGCAGCATGCTTACTTCCGGGATGGCAGTGGCACTTCAGGGGCATCAAACAGCTTCACGATTGGAGGCAACAACAAATGCAGGTAGTCATCCAGATTGGCACCAAACAACTGGATTGCTGCCAGCAACTGCGAAAGGGAGCAAGAGCACAATAAAAAGTAGTTGAGCTTGGTGGGCTAGGCCAACAATCCCAGCTACCTGGGAGAGAGAGATAGGAGGATCCTAATTTGAGGCCACCCTGGACTAATGCTAGCAAAATCCTATTCTCAAAAGCGGCCAGACCAGGGTGCTTGATGGTTCACACCTGTAATCCTAGCTACCCAGGAAGTTGAGATCTGAGGATCACGGTTCAAACCATCTCAGGCAGGAAATTCTGTGAGATTCTCATCTCCAATTAGCCACCAGAAAACTGGAAGTGGAGCTGTGGCTCAAAGTGGTAGAGCACTAACCTTGAGTAAAAGAGCCTAGGGATAGCACCCAAGCCCTGAGTTCAAGCCCTATTTGGACCAACCAAAAAAAAAAAAAAAGCCAGCTAGGAATAGTGGTCCATGCCTGTAAAGTCAGTTATCTGGGAGGTTGAATAGGAGACCAGCCAGGTAAAAGATGAGACCCTATCCAAAAAACTAAAGCCACAAAGGCCTAGCAATGCAGTTCAAGTGGTAGAACACTTTCCTAACAAAGGTGAGTCCCCAAGTTCAATCCCCAGTACTATCACCTAAAAAAAAAATACCTACAACATGCAACACAGGCAATGATGTGAGGACTTGGAAAAGCCTTCTTTATCAAGAGGCTTTGAATTACAATCCTTTTTATTGGTGGTTAATTGGAGATAAGAGTCTCTTGGGCTGGGAAAGTAGCTCAGTGGTAGAGGGCTTGCCTTGCATGCATGAGGCCCTGGGTTCAATTCCTCAGCACCACATAAACAGAAAAAGCTGGAACTGGCGCTGTGGCTCAAGTGGTAGAGCACTAGCCTTGAGCTGAAGAGCTGAGGGACAGCGCCCAGGCCCAGAGTTCAGGCTCCACGACAGGCAAAAAAAAAAAAAGAGTCTCATGGACTTTCCTACTCAGCCTGGCTTTGAACCATGATCCTCAGGTTTTAGCCCCCTGAATAGCTAGAATTACAGGAGGGAGCTCCCAGCTTCCAGCTAACCTACATTCTTTTGGTGTTTCCCCTTATTTCATTTGACTATATATTATGTTCTTTTCTCTGCTTATTATTTCAATAATTGATAAGGATTCTGTTGCTGGAAAATACAAAAAAAACTGGCATTGAACTAAACAGTTACCAAGACTAAGCCAGTAAAGGAGACAAAAACGTCAGGATAATCAAGAGAGAACTGTAAAGTGTTCTCTAAGCCCACACGCCTCAGGTGTCCATGTGCTGGAGTTTGGTGTTCTGAAGTAGACATTGGCTTGTCGCTCAGAAAAGGGTCTCACTTCTAGGGGCTTAGAGGAAGGTGGAAATCTCCCTTACCTTGATAGAGACGATGCGGCCTGGACTGTTGTCATGCATGAAGACTCGTAACATGTGTGGGATTAGCTGGGGCAGGTAGAGCTTAAATTCACCCCCAAGAGCTACCACAATCTGCTCAATGAGAAGAATGATTGTGCTCTGGATTGAGGTGTTCATGACCCAGAATTCCTACAAAAGGAAAGAGAGGGCAGGGCAGAGTTAGGTACTCCTCTACTGAAAAGTGAACCCAAGAACAGAGATGGCCAAAACAGAAGCAAAAGTGCAGTGAGCATAATCTCCTCCTCCCCACACGAAATAAATTTCCCCTACCACAGGGCCCTATGGTCAACCACAGCACATTGGACAAGTTATACTGCACTTCCCCTGCTCTGCCCTTTGCCTGCAAACCCATGTGTTCTGCTACGCTAACACAGTGAAAATCTATTCACTCTAGATGGTAACACAACACCACAGTCCTATATCTCCACCTAGCCCTGGACCAAAACTCACTTTTCACTTCTCCCGTTCCTAGCACCTGTAGTATTTAATTCACTTTGCAACCTCCCCTACGAGACTGTACAGGGGGCAGAAATCTTTCTGATACTTCTCTGTATTTCTATACTCTATCAGAGCATCTGAACTACTCTAGCTACTCAAACACATGTCCACAGAACAAACAGATAGCTAAATTTAAGCCACATAAGAGCTCTGAAGTAGTACAGAGTGAATACTCTTAGCTCTACCAAAGAGCAATTCCAGCATTACCCAGACTGCCCTTTCTGGATTTGCTAGAAGGCATCTGATACAGCCCTCAAAAATCTATCCATCAGGCCTGGGCAGGTGCCACACAGCAAGCACTTTTCACATAACTTTTCTGCATAACTGTAATTCATAGGAGTTACTAAAACAACAGCCTGGCCAATGATCTTCTAGATCCTGCCTCAGAACACTACAGGGATCTGGCCCAAGGGTCTCCCTCTAGGGAAAGCTATCATTTCAAATCTTCTCAGAAAGACCAGAAATTCCTGCCTTCTCTAAATTCCAGAGCAGGAGATCTATTGATAATAGAAATCTCACTAATGATGGCAACACACAAATATTAACACTCCTGGTGCCTCTCAATAATTCATACCAGAAATCAACAAAAACAAAGACAACTTCTCAGATGAAAGATTTTATAGAATAAAACATTATTATTAAACAAATATACATACATACATATGTATATATGTGTATATATGTATGTATGTATGCGTGTATATGTATATAAGCACTAACAATTTAGAATGTAAAAACCAGCCTAGAAAAAGTTTGTTAAAATTTACTTTCTCTCTCTGCTGGGAGAGAAATATTCTCTCTGAAAAACCTAAGTTCCCATTAGATAAAAACACCACTGTTTTTTTGAGGCCCCCGCCAGTGTGTCTGATGCTCATTCACTTGGACTGCACTCTGCCATCTTCAGAGTAAACCCACGTGCCTTCCAACTGCATCAGCCCAGGCTTCTCGCAGGGTTTTCTCTGCTCAAAGAAGCCAGCAGCCTGCCTGGGGACATGAGTTGGATCATGACTCACAGACTATTCTCCTCCTGAGCTCCAGGGAACTCATTAAAAAGCCCAGATCAACATGCGCCTTCTTCATCTGGGATGAAAGGAAAGCTGTGCTCTGCAGGCCAGGCTCCCTGCTGCACACTGTGGCGTGGGCCTACGTCTTTTGTGGGCAAATGAGTTAGAGGTTACTTTAGTTTCCTGAGTATATTACTTTCCTCCTTGTTTCTCCTCACCCCAAAGACCATCTACCAGGTGGTTTAGAATTTGGCCTAAATCTTCCTTATACAGAGGCCTCTGTGGTAGCAGTGGAGGAAAAAAGCCACTTTTAATGATTTATACATGTAGAAGTTTTTCTAATGCTTTCAAGTGTTAGAAAGTTCCATTTGGAAAGCCAGCCATTTTGATTTTGGCTATGCTGCTTCCTGCAAGCTGACTGCAGAGGTCTGGGATGGGAAAACAGAAAACATCTCTGAGGAAAATAAAATGATGTCTGCAAAAAACTCTTGCCCAAAACAATCATTTAAATCATACAAAACAATAGGAAAACAATACTGCCATCAATCCAGCATCTTCCAGAAACTGCTTACTACATGTTATAAAATCCTGAGGTCTACCCCGGAACTGCAGCTGTTAGTCGCGGGCGCTATGGCTTCAAGGTTACTTCGCGGAGCCGGAGCGCTGGCCGCGCAGGCCTTAAAGGCCCGTGCTCCCAATGGAGCGCCTGTGGTGCGCTCCATGGCGTCTAGAGGTGGTGTTCCTACTGATGAGGATCAGGCTACTGGACTCGAAAGGGAGATCATGATGGCCACGCAAAAGGGACAGGACCCTTACAATATATTGGCCCCCAACGTAGCTGCAGGCACCAAGGAAAACCCTAATTTGGTTCCATCCATCAGCAACAAGAGGATAGTGGGCTGCATTTGTGAAGAAGACAACTGTACTGTCATCTGGTTCTGACTGAACAAAGGGGAAACTCAGCGATGCCCAGGTTGTGGAAGCCACTACAAGCTGGTATCCCACTAGACGGGCCACTGAACCCCATACTGATGTTCTTAGAATGTGCTGTAAAGTTTCTTCTTCACAATAAAGACTAGCCATTGCATTGGCTCCTCCCAAAAAAAAAAAAATCCTGAGGTCTAGGCCCATTCTCAAGATGCCACTGTGGTCAGAAGGTGACATTTTGGAGGTCATAGGGCAAAGCATCTTGGTCCTTAGTGCCTGTCAGGAGACCATGGTACTTCACTGACTGGAACCCCTGATTCCCAATTCCTCTTCTCAGGCCAGTTTTTTTTGTTTGGTTTTTTTGTTTTTGTTGGTTATGGGGCCTGAACTCTGGGCCTGGGCACTGTCCCTCAGCTATTTAGCTTAAGGCTAGCACTCTATCACTTGAGCCACAGTGCCATTTCTGGCTCTTTCTGCTTATGTGGTGCTGAAGAATCAAACCCAGGGCCTCATGCATGCAAGGCAAGCACTCTACCACTGAGCCACCTTCCCAGCCCCTCAGGCTAGTTTTATGGGCAGTATGGAAGAGGCTTTGTACAAATCAACATCAAAGCAAAATTGCTGCTGGGCGCTGGTGGCTCACTGTTGTAATCCTCCTAGCTACTAAGGAGGCAGAGATTTAAGGATCAAAGTTCAAAGGCAGCCCAGGCAGAACAGTCCATGAGACTTTTATCTCCAATTAACCACAAAAATACCAGGAGTAGAGCTGTGGCTCAAGTGGTAGAGTGCCAATCTAGAGGGAAAAAGCTCAGGGACACCATGCCCTGAGTTCAGTTCCCTTCAGTTCAGTGTCCTCAGCTCGGTTCAATTCAATTCAATTCAACTTCAGTTCAGTTCAACTCAATTCAATTCAGTTCAGTGCCCTTGAACTGAGGCCCTGAGTTCAAGCTCCAAGACTAGAACAACAACAACCACCACAAAAAAGTACAAGGGCTTTGTTGTGTGTGAGACAAATAAGTCAGCACAATTACTCCCAGATGCCTCCGCAGATTTCCTACCATGAACTCCTGACCAGGAAGCATGGAGCCGGAGCAAGTACTCCTCTCCACCTGCTCCTCCCAATCAAGTGGGTTACTCTGTTCTACTTTTTATACTTGGACTGTTAACTGCTCCACAATGACCCATGAAGAAAATGTCCACATTATCCACACTTGCCTCTGAGTATCCCTTGACTCAAACACAGATGAACAAGTAAAGGCTTGAGCTTCTACTCACTCTCATGAGGGTGACTATTTCGTCCATGTAAGGTCTGATGTGGCTCTTCACAAAGGACACCAACATCCCCAGCTGCTGGAACAGAAACTGAAAGAGAAAGAGGTCAGCAAGCTGATGCTATGAACAATACAGAACCCTCGGGCTTAACCTCCATCCGCGCAAGTGAATAAAGAACAACTTTGGAGCCAAGCATCGGAGGCTCACGCCTGTAATCCTAGCTACTCAAGGAGGCTGAGATCTGAGGATCACAGTTTAAACCAGCTCAGGCAGGAAAGTCCAATTATCTCCAATTAGCCATCAAAAAAGCTGGAAATGTAGCTTTGGGCTCATGTAGTAGAGTGCTAGCCTTGAACACAAAAGCTCAGGGACAGCACCCAGGTCATAAGTTCAAGCCTCAGGACTGGCACATACACACACAACAAAAGTGGCAGGTCTATAAGTTTCAGCTGTTCATGAGGCTGAAGTAGAAGGATCACTAGAGTCCATAAATTCAAGACCAGCCTGGGCAACATAGCAAGACCCTAAATCAGAAAGTAAACAAAGAAATCTTGTGCATAAAGGTAACAGATGAAACCAAGTTGACAAAATGTTATTAACTGCAGAAGCTACTTTTGCCTTTATTCCATTATAAAGTATTTTTAAAAATTAAATGTGGCTAAGAATAGAAAGAAAGAGATGAAGAAAAACTCAAGTTAAAAAAAGAAAGAAAAGGGCTGGGAAGGTAGCTCAGTGGTAGAGCGCTTGCCTTGCATGCATGAGGCCCTGGGTTCGATTCCTCAGCACCACATAAGCAAAAAGAAAAATGCCGGAAGTGGCACTGTGGCTCAAGTGGTAGAGCGCTAGCCTTGAGCTGAAGAGCTGAGGGACAGTGCCCAGGCCCAGAGCTCAGGCCCCATGACCGGACCCCCCCCAAAAAAAAAAAGAAAGAAAGAAAAGAAGGAAACTGGGGGAAAGTGAAGGAAGGGGTATAATTATCAAAAAAAAGTAACGTTCTTATTACCTGATTTATGAAATGGTAACCCCTCTTGTACAACCCCTTAATAATAACAACAAAATTATATTAAACAAAGACAGACAAGGCAGGACAAGAAGAACCATGGAAATAAATAAGTACATCAACAATTACTATAAAATATACACCAATTTAAAGACAGAATTTTTTAAGTTGGATTAAAATGTTAATCTAGTTACATTACAAGAAAGCCATCCAAACAAAATCACATCAGTTAAAAATGAAAGAATAGGAAAAGGGCTGTGATATGGCTCAATGGTAGAGCACTTGCTAATTTTGCATAAGGCCATGGATTTGATCCCCAGTACCATAAAAAAAAAAAGAAAGAAAAAATGATGGGTAATGGGAATAGACACATACCTCCAGAGTTGGTATAGATATGTATAGATATGCAGCTATAATCTTAAGTGCTATTATTAAGCAAAATAAGGAATTATTAAAAAGATTTGAACATAGTAGCTAGTTCAATCTAATGATATATGAAGAATCCTGTGTATAACATTAGCAAGTACACAGTTTCCAAGAATACAAAAAACTTAAGACAGTAACTGATGGGCCAGACCATTAAGGCAGTCTCATCAAACATCAAAAAAAATAATAAATACAACAGAATTAACTTAGAAATCAGCAACAAAGAGAGAAATTTTAAACCATGTAAATTTGTAAATAAAATATCCACTTCTAAATAACGTCAGGGTGGAAGAAGAAAAACAAGCTTAGAAAAAAAATACTTCATTTTTGTGCCAGACCTAGGGCTTGAACTCAGAGGCTGGACACTGTCCCTAAGCTTTTTTGTCCAAGGACAGTGCTCTAGTGGCTGGGAAGGTGGCTCAGTGGTAGAGTGCTTGCTTTCATGCCTGAGGCCCTGGGTTCGATTCCTCAGCACCACATAAGCAGAAGGAAAAAAAAAAAAGCCGGAAGTGGCGCTGCTGTAGCTCAAGTGGTAGAGCACTAGCCTTAAGCTGAAGAGCTCAGGGACAGAGCCCAGACCCAGAGTTCGGGCCCACGACCGAACCCCCCCACACCCCCCAAAAAAAAGGGATAGTGCCTCTACCACTTGAACCAGTTATACTTCCTGCTTTTGACTAGTTAATTGGACCTTGGCTGTCTTGAACTGCAATCCTTGGATCTCAGCTGCCTGAGTAGCTAGGATGACAATCATGAGCCAGTTGAGCTAGTGAAAATACTTGTTAACAATGAAAATATTACTCAGCAATAGATAGAGTGAAACAGATTTACATTTCAACAAAGGAAAACCTCAAAAGTATTATGTTAAGCTAGACACCAGTGGCTCATGCCTGTAATCCTAGCTACTCAGGAGGCTGAGACCTGAGGATCACAGTTCAAAGCCAGCCTGGGCAGGAAAGTCTGTGACACTCTGATCTCCAATTAACCACTAGAAAACCAGAAGTGGCACTATGGCTCAAAGTGGTAGACCACCAGCCTTGGGCTGAAGAGCTGAGGGACAGTGCCCAGACCCAGAGTTCAAGCTCCACAACCAGAAAGATTTTTTTTTTTAAGTATTATGTTATATGAAAGAAGCTAGATGCAAAAGATCCACATGCTATGCTTCCAACTTCATGAGCCATTCAGAAAAGGCAAGTGTCTAGAGACAAAAAGATCAGTGGTTGACCAAGGCTGGAATGGGAACAGAAACCATTGCAGAAGGGCAGGAGGTTTCCGGCAACAGTGACAGAAACTGTCTAAAGTTAGACTGAGTGGTGACTGGACAACTTCACAAAAACATTAAAAAAATTGTATTTAAGGATAAAATCTATGGTGCCTAAACTTTATCTTGAAGTTTTAAAAGTTTTAGAATAGGGGCTGGGAAGGTGGCTCAGTGGTAGAGTGCTTGCCTCGCATGCATGAGGCCCTGGGTTCGATTCTTCAGCACCACATAAGCAGAAAAAAGCCAGAAGTGGCTCTGTGGCTCAAGTGATAGAGTGCTAGCCTTGAGCTGAAGAGCTGAGGGACAGCACCCAGGTCCAGAGTTCAGGCCCCACGACTGGCAAAAAATAAATAAATAAAATAAAATAAAAATTTTAGAATATTACTAAGTTGATAACTTGGAGTAGGGGCTGGGAAGGTGGCTCAGTGGT